TGACCTGTGTTCAAAGGTACCATAAAGTTCCCTTTGGGTCTTTTGGGGCTGGAATTGGGTTACAATGGGGGACTTCAAGGAAAAATTGACCTCTTTAACTTCACGCATGGGGAGACTAGAAATTCCACGGAGAATACGTGTGCTGATGTCGGATCACCTTCCTCCTTGGGAAACTTGACATAAGATATTTGTATTCCCAAAACCAAATTCCTCCGTGAGCAATCTTGAGACTCTCAACTAGCGAAACACCATTGTGTGTGCGCTTCAAATAAATTCTCAGATAAAAATAATTCAATTAAGGGTCAGAATGTTCTATCTATGCTCACCGCCCACGATGGCTTTTTGAGTCAAGGTGGAATTCCCGCTCGGTGACAGAAGTTACACTGCAGCTTTTGTGCGATCTCCTAATGTCTGACATCTTCTTTCCTCCAACACTATATAAGTTTCTGGAGAATAGAGGAAGCTGGTAGTGTGGCTTCTCACTCCAACAGCATTGAGGACCATGGCACACGTTTCAGGTCTCCAGTTTGGCTGCCCTAGAACTTCACTGTTCCTTTATTTGTCAGAGTTGTCATTCTGGGTTTCCATCTCTTGACGGTAGCTGATGATGAAGGGAACAGACTAGTCAGGGTTAATATGGGTCCACCCCCATAGATGTTTGCATTTTGGTAGGGAGATTCTTCAGGGCCACAAAGTCCTATAAGCTCCTCCTCAAATAAGGCTGCTGTGATGGGGGTGGGGGGGTTTGCATATACGTAGGAGGATGGGATAGTCTTCAGGGCTTCTCATTTAAGAAAGACAGCCACTGTTACCTCTTCATCTGCTCTATGATACTCCCTGGCCTGTGGGCTTCATTGACATATTGAGTGTTGTTCATTTGGGCAGAAAAAAGTATCACAACTTCACAGCCTTCTTGATTTTCTGAAAAAGGATCTGGCACTTAGATTTGCTAGTTTGCCAAATGACAGCTGTTTGCCTGTAAGGCAGGGTTTGCTTTCATAAGAGACAAGGATTGAAGGGAAGTAATGCCATCTTCTAGGAAGAGACTCGTGTGGTCTGCCGCCTTCCTAATATGGCTATAAAGTCTCAGCAGGCAAGGCACCAGGTACTTTTGTTTTTATTCTTATTTCAAGAGATTTGAGATACTGTTTCAGAGTCTAAATATAGAGTATCTGCCTGCTGACCTTTCTCCCTGATCAGGCTCATCATGTTAGCTGCTGTGCTTACCTCTCCAGATTTCTACTTTATTATTATTTTAAAAATATAAATGAAAGGTCAGGTAATACTTTCCATATTTCATAATAGGACTGGTCCTGGAAGAATCTTAGAAAAAACAATCAAGACATTGGCTTGAAGTAGAACAAAAGCATGTGAAAAACCTTTTTTTCTAGTTGCAGAAAGCAAACAGGAAAATCTCACAGTGATGATCCTCTGTCTTCTCTATAACTCCACTACTACTCCCCTTCAGTGGGAGATCATTTCCCTCAACACCAGATGCTAAAAAATGTTCAGGAGCCACTAGCAGGTCTCCTGGTCCCAATTCCTAAGCCCAGGGAACTCTGTGCTACCATCTAGTGGCAGACTTCAGACACAACAGGCTGGCTGCGGGACTCCTGTTTGAACTTGGCTGTGGCTGGAGCTGTGGTTTGGCTCACATCCTTATAGAGCTTTGTTGCCAGCCATGTAGACTTTTTCTTTTTTACACCCTATGCCCCCCCCCTTTTATTTTTGCATGTTGGCACTTCATTTCATGTGCCTCCAGAGGCTATGTTTTGGGTTTTGATATATTTGGTGTTTTGGAAAGGAGACAGTAACGCAGATACCTTTGACAACAGGTAAATCACAGGCTGGCTGACCCTAAAAAGTGATAAACACCGGGAGACAGAGACAGAGCATGAAAAATGTGATAAGGCTTATTACTCTTAAACACTGGCTAGCTCTGTTTTTTAGAGTGTTCTGACATTTTCCTGCAATGCTTTTCTACTGCTATATCTGTTGCTTAGATTTGGAGAACCCAAGCTGGAATCTCTGGAAAGTTTGTTTGAGGATGCCAATCTGGCTTTCAGAGGTATATAGGCACAGCTACCTATCAGTATCCAGAAAGGTATAATTATCCTCATTACCAGAAAACAGCTGGTGTTTGTAACCTTCCCGTGGTTGGTGATGACAAAGCTCTGTGGAGTTAGCCTGCTGCTGTTAGCTCATTTCACTAGTGTGGAACCACAGCGAAAGCACCAGTCTCCCCTGGGGCTTCTGGGCCAGGACATTGTTTTGTTCTTGTCTGTATCCTGAGTGCCTGGAAGTAGCGAAGTGCAACATTTTTAAATGTTTGTCTTTGGAGTCAGACAGACCTCTGTTGGCATTCCAAATCTGCCTTTTGTGGGCCCCTGGGCAAGTTCCTTAACCTTGGTTCCTCATCTGTAAAATGGGGGTGATGTGGAAGTTTTTTGGTGAAAGGATGCATATAAAAGTCTTAGCACAGAGCCCTGTACATAGAACGTGTTTGGTAAGTATGAATCAGCATCAGAAAAGGTTTCTTGAGTGAAGAAGTGAGCCAAATGAGCCATAACCTGGCATCAGAGCAGAGGACACTCGGCAAGCCTGGGGATGAGGAGGCCAGCAGAGATGGGCTCCCGCAGGCATGACATCGTGCCGCTTCTCACCGGAGCCACCACCCCCAGCCCAGTGTTCTTGTCTCCTGGCAAAATCAGTGACAGCAGAGCGAGTGGTCTTATTTAACCTGCGCTTAAATTCACTCTGTAGCTGCTGGACTCAATTAAGGAGACAGAGGAATTGGCCTCTCACTAGCAATTCTCTGTAGTTTTCCTTACTTTCTTCGAGGGCCTGTGATTCTAAGCATGCACTTCATATCCTTGTCAACCAGACCCCAGGGAAATGATCAGATACGGCAGCTTGGTAGAATATGAGAAAACTCCAAATGTCATTAGAAAGGGGGAAATCCTGCACTAAATGTACAGCTAAAATTTAGGTTTGGGGTGTGTGTGTGTGTGTGTGTGTGTGTGTGTGTGTGTGTTTGAGAGAGAGAGAGAGAGAGAGAGAAGGATGGAGAGAGAGAGGGGTAGAGAGAGAGAACAAAAAAAATTCCAGATGTGCAGCTACAAACCATCTGGTTGGAATGACTTTTGAGCTGGACTGTAATTACAAACTATTTATTATGAATCTTGGGATCCTGTTATGGATTTTGACTGGCTCCCAGGTTTCTAATTTAGCAAAGTGTTCCTATACTTAAGAAAGTGTGTGTCTATTTATCAGACCCTGAATTGTGACTTATACCCGTTCTGATTGCCCTTAGAGCTTGAACTTCCCATGTCTGAGGATTTTTCCCTCCAGAGAGGAGATGCACTTGGGGGTGGCCCTTCCCTAAAGCTGCAGCCAGCTTTGCAGAAGCTGTGCTAACAGAAGTTCTCTTTAGAAAGTGTGTTCACTTCACAGATGTCTTGGGGTGGGGGTGGGGTCAGTATCAAACTATAGCTTGCAGGACCTGCACTTTGCCAAATGAAGTCACTGTTAATAATGCCAGGCAGCATATATAGCAGCATATATACCTGATCATTGCTCATAATGACTTTAGTGGTAGTGGAGGGGCACTATTAATATTTTAAAATATACCTCTTAAATTTGATTTGTGCCTGTGCTATGTATTATGTTTGTAACATGAGAAAAATTATGAGAATCAATCGGAGGGCTGTGACTTGCAGTGAGTCTTGATGCAACCATCATTATGAAGGAGACGGGGAGGGAAGAAGCTTTGCAGGGCTGGGAGCTGTGACAGCTTGTAGGTCTACCATCACTTAAGGGACTGCTTACAGTTCCTGAACCCGTCTCAGCCTCACTGGGGACAAGAATGCGCTCTGCAGATTAGCGGTTCTCAGCCCAGGCTGCACATTGGAATCCCCTGGGGAGCTTGGGAAAGCACCTAGGTTTGGTCCTCAGATCAATCAGATCTGAGCCCCAGGGGGTGGGAGACAGTGCCGCCTTTGTTAAGAACCACACAAGCGCCCTGGTTTGCAGCAAAGGATGAGGACCACAGATTGTAGGAGTGAATGAGGTTAGCTCCGTGAAGGGACACTACCAAGGGGGGAACAAGAATGGATTCCTCAGGTCATATACCTTCTCTGAGCAGCAGTTTTCTTGTTTATCCACTGAGGATGTGAATACTGCTCATCTCACAGAAGTTAAGGAGGAACGAAAGCCACAGCACCTAGCATCTAGAAGAAACTTATTGCAGTTCAAATCTTGTTAAGTTTTGTGACATAGTATTTTCGGTGCACGTGTTTCCAGTCTGTGTATAAACAGGCATATACATCATGTTTGGATCTTCTCTGAGACATTTTAACAGCTAACCTGTCAGGATAAAACCGAAGATGCAAATGCTCACCACACTTCATTAGCATACGTGCTAATATAATGCAGCTGTCCCATGGCTATAAAACACTGACGCCTGTGTCTCTGCTTGGCGTGGGGAATATTATTTTTTCTCGAGCTGAGCTGATTCAATACTCAACTTTGTCATTATTTGAGTTGGAACTTTAGATTGCTGCATTTTAATGCACTGTACTATTAAGGATTGTTGGACGGCTGTGTGCAAATATTTTTGTTCTCACGATGCAGTCCTGGCCCAGGTAGCCCAATGGGCAAAATATGATTTACACAAATATTATCGTTCCTATAGTGTGTACTAAAGAGAAACCTTAGAACAGAGCAGGACAACACTTTTCTCTCGGCGTTTGGTTATCTGGGTTATGTTGGTTTCTGAAGACGGGACTTTTCATCCCTTCTCGTGTGCCCTTCATCTAAAAGTTCTGTGTTTCTGGATGAATATTTCTGTTCCAGAGAGAGCAAAATCCTACTTGCTTTCCTGAGTGTTCTTGCCAAGATAAAGGGAAGATAGGAAGAGGGAGGCTAGAGAAACCTGTGTCAGGCTTCTGGGGATTCTGTTTGGAGTTGCTTTCAAATGTCTCTTGTCTCTTTTTGCCTAGAACAAGGAAGTGACCTGTAAGAGAGAGAAGTGCCCAGTGCTGTCGAGAGACTGTGCCCTGGCCATCAAGCAGAGGGGAGCCTGTTGTGAGCGGTGCAAAGGTGATTTATGTCTTGGCCGCCTTCTCTTCTGGCTGTCGCTGCGGGCATTTTTATTTCTCTTTTTCTCACCTTCCTCTTCACTTAGCTCTTGGCTGGGGTGCAAGTGGGTGTTGGGAGGGAAGTGGATGTGTGTGCATGTGTGTGTGAGTTTGGGGAGGTTGGTAGTAGTAGGGACTCTCCTAATGGAGTGAAGAAAGAATAGTGGCTATCTGCACATGTGGTTTCCTTTCTAAGGCAAGTGGCTGAAGTGTGACAGAGAAGCCGCAATCACGATGCCGATGTATGTGGGTATGCACGTGCGCATGCGCATGATGTCTTTTGTCAAGAAGTTTCAGCGGTTTTTCCGTTTTTTCCGGGCTGTATGCTTGCCCTGCCTTCCTCTGCCCAAGGAGTAAGCCGGAATTTTATCATTTTAACTTCAAAAATGAATCAGTAGTGCTCCCCTTGCCTTTGAAGCCTCTCCGTCATGTCCTGATTCCAACCTCATTTTCCACGGCCCTCCAGCGCACACACCCTCTCTTGAACATTGCTGTTCCTGCTGTGGCCGCGTGGCCTTGGCTCAGGTCTCTCCTCCCCACCTGTTCACATACTGCCTGTGCTTATGGCCCCCAGCCCTCATTCGTCTATGTTTCTATGGCACACAGAAGTCCACACAGGTTCTTCCCGGATGTGCTTTTCCTCCTTCATGACCTTGTTTGCGTTCAGTAAGTCCTTGGGGTCGCGAGCTGGGTGATGCTCTGATAGAGTGGGGCCTGCAGGAGGTACCAACAGCATCACAGCTCAGGATGTGGGCTCTGGAGTTACACTGCAATGCCAGAGCCCAGCGGCCCCAGGGTGTGGAGTGTTTACCAAAGTTCATGTCCATTGGGAACCTCAGTATGTGACCTTATCTGAAAATAGGATCTTTGGAAGTATAATTAGGTAAGGTAAGGTTATACTGGCTGAGGGTGGCCCCACATCCAATATGATGAGTGTCTTTATATCAGGAAGTGGAGACAGACAGACACACAGAGAAGACAACCATATTATGTGAGAGGCAGATATAAATACCTCTGCTCTGTTCCTTGGGATTCCCATGCAGTTGTTCTGGGGAGGGAGCTAGGTGTCTGTCTTTTTTTTTTTTTTTTTAAATTTCTTTAATGTTTATTTTTGAGAGAGTGGGGGAGGGGCAGAGAGAGAGGGAGACACAGGCTGAAACAGGCTCCAGGCTCTGAGCTGGCAGTCAGCACAGAGCCCGATGCGGGGCTCGAACCCACGAACCGCGAGATCATGACCTAAGCGAAAGTTGGATGCTTAACCGACTAAGCCACCCAGGCGCCCCTCTTTAATGTTTATTTTTGAGAGAGTGGGGGAGGGGCAGAGAGAGAGGGAGACACAGAATCCAAAGCAGGCTCCAGGCTCCGAGCTGTCAGCACAGAACCCGACATGGGGCTCGACCCCACGAACTGTGAGATCATGACCTGAGCCAAACTCGGACACCTAACTGACTGAGCCATGCAGGCCCCCCTCTGAAGCCCATTTTTAATGACAACCCATGAGTCTCAATATTCAGCAAAGATCCTGTGAACTTTTTAAAAGACACTATTATGTAAAATCCACATTTCAAGATTTAATGCCCAATTGTGTGTTAATAACTATAGTTATTGTAGTAAACTATTGAGTTAAAAAATTAAAATCTTAGAAAGCAAAATCGAACCAAACAGAGATAGAGGTTAGAGTTTTACCACAACAAGCAAAGGAGCACCTAGAGACCATAGGAGGCGGGAGAAAGCAAGGAGGGGCTCTTCCCAAAGCCTTTACAGGGAACACGGCCCTGCCAACAGCCTGATTTTGGACTCCTGGTCTCCAGAGCTGTGAAAGAGTAAGTGTCTGTTGTTTGAAGCAACCAAGGTTGTGGTAATTTATTACGGTAGCCCCAGGGAAAGAATACAGCAACAACTCTACATAAGCAGGTAGAGATATGGAATCTCTCTCCCAGTTCCCGATTCTATACAATGCGGATAATAATTGTGTTGGAGGCATTTGAATGGGAAGGTCCATTCAGAACACTTAGCACAGGGCCTAACGTGTAAGTATTTCTCAGTTAATTTAAGTATAGTAGGTGCTCTTCAAAACCTTGGTGGGCTGGACTATAAAATATTATTTTTTAATATTTTTATTAAAAATAGAAGCTTTTTTGGAGCAGGGGTGAGTGGGCTGGGATAATATTTTTTCAGAGCCTTCTTCATCAACCATTTACTTTTTGCCTTCTTCTTACAAGTTGGGAGTCAGATGTTTTACACATTTGACTTCTGAGAGCTATCAATGTGAGACCTGAAATGGTAATTTATTAGGAATCTCCCAAGCAGATGGTCAGATACAGTGATTCTAGTGAAAAGCACATTAGCGAGCTCAGTGTGTGTCCAAGTTGCCGTTGGTTCACCTTAAAGAAGCTTCTCTGTTCCTTTATTTTTTAAACTGCTTATTTGCCATCTGCATCTTTCAGTGATTAGTAAGGCTGCCTTGCCAACGAGAGGCCGGGTAGGTTCCACAGGATGGAAACACCGTGTGTCAAGGGAACGTGCCCAAGGCTTTGGGTTTGCTTCCCCATTAACTGACACAGAAGGGAACTTTCTGTTCTTGTAGTGTGTGACCGTCTTTCCTGATTGTCCTGCTGTTTCCTTTATGGTCATCTTTCCCTCTGATTATCCGACTTTCCCCAGGGAAAGAGATACCTAAGACAAATCCATTTCTGGAATGCTCTTTTTGAGCTTAAGAAGATAAAGTTCTTCAAATTAAACTGGGCCCAAGAATAGACCCGGGAATTCAGCATCCAGCATCCTGAAATCTCTTTCTGTTAGTAGTGTCAGCCTTTTGGGGAGGTCAAAATCCCCAACCTGCCCAGAGGTGGTCCTTTATGAGAGAGACTCTTGAACACATCAGAATTCTCAAGCTCAGGAGGTGGATGTTAGAGACACCCCTTCATTTTCTTTATTTCTACTCCATCGCACAGTATTTGTCTCATGGATTTTAAGAGACACAATTGTATTCGCTCTTAGCTACTGATTTATTTATGTGTTTCTGATCACAATAGTAACATATGCTCATAGAGGAAGCTTGAAAAATAGTCTAAAGTGTAGGAAAGCAGAAAATAAATTTACTTATAATCCCATCACCCAGAGTTACGATTGTTAATATTTAGTATATCTCTTTCCATATTTTTTCCCTGTGTAAAAGTGTTTATCTAGCTAATGTCTTACTACTTATGGCACAGTATTAAAAAAAAAAAAAGATTTCCACTTAACATCAGGGCATAAAATCTTTTCAGCTAACTTGGAAATATTGCCCTTGATGGGTACATAAGATTCTATTGTGGGAAGATTATCAACATTCACTGGGGCATTCTTCATTTCTGGGCATCGAGGTTGTATCTTAGATTGGGGCACTGGGGAGGGTGAAAGACAAACAGCTGAAGCCAAAGAGCACGCACAGTGAAATAAAAATGACTGGAAAGAGAGAATCAAGAAGAGCATCAACCTGGGTAGGGAGATGTCAGTGTGAAGCCCCAGACCACTCTGGATTTGGCATCCAAAGAAATCTGGGTGGACCTCTCCTTAACTCTTTGGCACCCTTCCTTTTACGCAGCAGGAAAAACAATAATAACAACAAACTAGCTGTGTTTCTCAGAAGTCCTCTTCAAAGCAGCATCCTCATGCTAACACTGAGGGTTTTGACTTTTCTTACTCAAAGAGAGTGATTCAGTGAGGAATCGTATTAATGAGAATTTTGCCGATAATACTTGATTTTGGAGCAGAATGAGGCAAGATTGCCTCAGGGTCAAATAATTTTGATCAGATCAGGGAATAATATGCAATTAGTTTTTCTCAGCAAAGAAATGGAGCCTCTGGTTTTGGATCAGTTAACACATGGTCAGCAGAGAGCTGATGAACTTTATTCCTCTGTGTTTTGAAAGGCATTTACACTCAAGGATACCACCTTATACTCATTCTAAAGTTGCTCATCAGATAATTTAGGCCACAGTGAAGTCAGGTTTCTTGTAGAGGTGAGTACAGCATGTAGTCCACCTGATGGGATAAGTGGAGGGTGTATCTACCAGGCTTCCCAGCAGAGGCAGCCAGCCCTTCTAGAAGAGCCTTTCTACCAGCAGGTATGCAGAAAGGTGAAGTCTAGCATTGCTAACTGGGTGAAGCAATAGTGAAAGCTTGATAGTTGCTTTGACTTCCCATTGAGTGTTGTTTTTTATCTGTCCTTTCTCTTACCTGAGGGAATCATGAGTGTAAGTAGCGATTCTCAAAATGCAATGGACTACAAGGTCACCTGTTACATGTAAATTCCTGGGCCTTGCCCTGTAATAATAATAGTAACTGAGATCATCTTTCTCTTTATTCAAATAGCAGCAGCTACTATAGGTAATCCTTACTCAGCGCCAGGCATTAAGTCTTCCACAGGTACTGTCATAACCCCATCTTAAAGATGAAAAAAAATGGTAGCACTGAGATGTTTAGTGACTTGTCCAAGGTCACAGAGCTAGTAAATGATGGAGATGGGGAACAGACTACGGTCTCACCATTAAGCTTGTAGGCCTGTTATATCTGGGTCCCTGATTCTGCATTTCTAGGTCTCCACTGGGTATCTCATGGGGGCTGAGGCTTGAGAACCACTGCTACCAGATAAAGAATGGACAGGAAGACAGAGGTGGGCCTTCTTGATGAGGGAATGTGAACCATGTGTTTAGTAGAAACTGTTGGTTAATATCTACTTCAATCAGTGTATCTTTGGGGTGAAAAATCTCTTTGCCCTCTGTAGCTGTGAGGCCATATTGTTTCTCTGACTCTATGTACTCCTCTTATTTGGAAATTTTATATTACTACAATTATGGTATAAGAGATGAAGCCAAATAGATTAATGACCAAGAAAATGTAACCAAAATGTTGAAGTGCTAGAGAATGCATATCAAAACTCTTTCCCAGTTATTCAGTGGTGTGATAAATGAGGGGGAG